ATTGAGAGCCAATAGCGGACTCAAATACTGGACATAACTTTTTGGACTAAACTCGTTAGCAACAATTAGAAGCCTGTATTGTTTAAAAGAAGTCATGAAATTTCTGTTTTGTCACTATCAACTTTATATCTGTAATTTATTGGATGTCAGTATCAACTGTCAATAATTTGAGCTCTGATTTTGTATTTGACGGAGTTCTCTATCCAAAACGGCCAAAAAACCAAGACCAAAAAATAAAACCGAGACAAGACCAAAACAAACACCTCAAAATCAAGACCGAAAAAACCAAGAAAAGTCTTGGTTCCATGACTAAGACCAGGAGTCTCGGACATCTCTAGCAACTATGGTAACAATAAATAGAGTATATGTACGTACTAAACAATATTAGTATATAAATTTTTCATATTCCTTAAATTGTAGTTTTAGTTTATTTTTCAGTAGGTTTTCATTCGATCCGATATTGATATTTTTTGGAAGCCATGCAAGGCACTGGCAAAAGATAATAAGTCTCAAGAATATTACAAGTTAGTAATAACGCAACCATTTTTCGGCTGTACGATCGTGAGGGAAATAGGAAAATCACAGAATCCCTTTTGGAGTTAAAAGTAAAACTGCTAAACTTTATGCCAAATGCTAATGCATGGCATCCAAAAATGCATGCTAACGTACGATGGAACAACATAGATGCCATATTAATTTTACATTTTAAATGAGCGAAAAATTTATAAAGAAATACTGATTAAATATCCTTTTAGACTAACATTTTCGGAATAACTATAAAATTATCTTAGAAATCATTAATTATCGATCTCTTTAACAACTGTTAAAGCTGATATTGACCAAATTTGAAACTCTTCAAAATCATTAAATTTGGTCCTAAAATTTCCAGATAAAATATAATTTACTTAACATCCGTTTTTCTATTTTTAAAACGGCTAATTTTGTAAATCAACATGTAGCTTCTCAATGTTGGGAAGACCAATTTAATTTTTTGTATGCCATGCTAATGCATAGGCAAATATTAACGTTCAGAATAACACTTTTTGGACTAAACTCTATTAGAAGCTTGTAGTTATTTTTAAAAAATTTTTACTAGAGTTGCCGTTTTCGGTTTGAGCTTGATTTTTTCGATTCGGTTCGTTTTCGAGCTGAAAAGCCTCGGCTCGCTCGATCTTTCGAGTTTCGAGTCGAACGATCTGGCAACCCTAATTTTTACTAAAACCCAAAAGCCTAAATATAGCTTTTTTGAGTGAATTTTGCGTTGTTGTGTTTTGTAATGTCTATGTTTGAAAGAATTCAGTGTGTAGGAGACGGAACCAAATTTTTACCATGGATAGGACGAGTTGAGTTCCTGTCGGGTTTCCAGTACATTCCTTCTGTATCATATTCATTTTTGTTTTAATATGATCTTAATTTTATTTGATTAAGATCATATTTTTAAAGATCATATTTTATTAAATTAGATCATATTTTATTAAGATCATATTTTATTAAAGATCATATTTTATTAAGATCATATTTTATTAAATTAGCCGTTTTAAAAATAGAAAAACGGATGTTAAGTAAATTATATTTTATCTGGAAATTTTAGGACCAAATTTAATGATTTTGAAGAGTTTCAAATTTGGTCAATATCAGCTTTAACAGTTGTTAAAGAGATCGATAATTAATGATTTCTAAGATAATTTTATAGTTATTCCGAAAATGTTAGTCTAAAAGGATATTTAATCAGTATTTCTTTATAAATTTTTCGCTCATTTAAAATGTAAAATTAATATGGCATCTATGTTGTTCCATTGTACAGTAGCATGTATTTTTGGATGCCATGCATTAGCATTTGGCATAAGGTTTAGCAGTTTTATTTTTAACTCCAAAAGGGATTCTGTGATTTTCCTAATTCCCTCACGATCATACAGCCTAAAAATGGTTGCATTATTCCTAACTTGTAATATTCTTGAGACTTATTATCTTTTGCCAGTGCCTTGCATGGCTTCCAATTTTAAAGGGAAAATTTTTTAAAGGGATCACCGTTTTATCAAAAGAAATTCTAAAAATTTTCGCTTCAGACGCTAAAAGAAAGAAGCCTTAATCACTTTAAATCTAACAATTGCCCTCTATACAATTACCCTATATCTCAGACAAAAGTTGTTTCCGACGACTTATTTTCGTGTCGCTTGAATTATTGCCATCTGATTATTTGTGGCATCCAAAAATATATTCAAAAAAACTGAAGAAGATAAATTACAAAGTAATTTTAATTCATAAAAGACGGAAAAATTTAAGAACACATATTAATAAGAAATAAAGATGCTTAGGGATTAACTGCGATGCTTAGTCTCTTCACGTCCTGATATTTGGATGTCCTCATTTTTTGGATGTCGCATCGAAAGCCGGCAAAAAATTAATTAAATTTGAAAATCCTCTTAATCCCTTAGAGATCAAGGTTGCCGCCCGAAACCCGGCATTTTTTGTACCCGATACACGAAAAGAAACTTTTCTAGCCCGAAACACGTGACCGAAGGCCCGAAACCCGTGATTTGCTTTTAATTATTGTTTTAACTTTTAATTTTTGTAGAATTTAGAACTGCTCAAACTTAATAGTAGCTTACATTATTTTTTATGCTGATTTTTTATATTTGGTAATTCAGAATCAGTCCAATTTTAAAATTGACGTCAATTTTCAGATTTTTTATATTATAAACTTATATTTTATTACATTTATTTTGTTTTAATTGGGGAATGCGTCTGTTATATGTAAGTATGTTCGAGGCTCATGGTTAATTTTTTGGATGTCGCATAGAAAGCCGACAAAAAATAAATTAAATTTGCAAAATTTTGATTTTAGTATTTTGTATTTATAGTACTATTTCTTTATGAACAAAGAGTAATCCCAATTCTAATTACACTTAAGTAATTAATAGTGATCGGACTTTTATGCGCATCTACTATGGATGTGATCTAATAGGGATCTCACATTGAATTTTTTCAAAAAAGCCCATTACAAAAAAGCCGTAATTTAAGAAGGTGCCGGAAATTGGAAATGGCTCAAAAGTCTTCATCCTCCGATATCTCCCCAACTCATATGACAGTCTTTTCCATAGGTATCTCTTTAAATTTCTTTGATACCTCCAAACCGGATATTCTCATTAGTCTCAAATAATTGATCCGTTTAAATCCTCTGATATCCTTCATAATTATTTGCCTATGCTTTAGCATGACATCCAAAAAATAACAAATGCAAATCAAAACGCTCTAAGTTACATGTGGATTCAAAAAATTAACCGTCATAAAAATGCAAAAACGGATGTTAAGTAAGATTCAATTTATCTAGAGATTACCAAATTTTATTTTGATGAGTTTCAAATTTAGTCCAAAATCTTGTATTAGTGATTCCTAGGATATTTTTTATAGCTATTCCAAAAATGATTTATACTTTTAAACTAGCAACCCGACCCACGAAACTCCAATGGATTTTTTGTCAAAAAATCGACCCAACGCCGACTCGACTGCCGAAGCTCTAAAATGTCGAAGGCTCTAACTCCACAAATGATACTTTCGCTTGATCGTTCACCACAATTCGTCTGACACTTGAATTTGTACACATCAAAACGAATGAACACCTAAACGTCTCAGACGAAAATTTTAAATTTTCTTCCTTTTTAAAACGCTTCAGACGAAAATTTTGGAAGACAAGATACAAAGGCAAAAAAATCATTGTCAGTGAGACTGACATCCAAAAAATTACAAAATATTCAGGTGATATATTACAAATCAAAAATTCCATGGATTCTTTTAAATACTCCTTAATTTTTAATTTAATAAGAATCTATTGACTAAATTTTATTTATCAACCTTTATTTGTAGATGAAAATTCTCGCTCATAAATGATTTTTCAGCATCGATTCTGGCAATGAATCGCAACCTGCAGCTGAAGATATAAACTTTTAATTTTTATCTTTATTAAAAGTCAATTTGAGCCTTAGAAAATACAGTGGGTCTACTAGAGATCGGATAGAGATTAGATCCTTGAAAAATCTGGGTTGTCGAAATTTTTGAGATGTCGATCTCTTATCTTGTTTGATTACCAAATCCGGTCTTAAATTCAAACAGAAATAAAGCCAATTTACGCCTGTTGAAAATCACGGGCTTTTTATTACATCCTTCTCAAATGACTGAGTATAAAATTGAAAATACTTTCTGAAATATACTTCTGATATGGAGTTACGAAATATGGGAACTACGTTATGCCCATGCAGTTTTATTAGAGTGGTAAAATTTGTCAGCCTATAGGTGACATCCAAAAATATAATTCACCGAAAAATACACCCCACAAAACCTCCATTATTCAAATAAAATTAAGATCATATTAAAACAAAAATGAATATGATACAGAAGGAATGTACTGGAAACCCGACAGGAACTCAACTCGTCCTATCCATGGTAAAAATTTGGGATCACCGTTTTATCAAAAGAAATTTTAAAAAAAAAAAAAGAAATTATAAATGGGATTTTAAAGAAATTTAAAGATCCCTTTAAAAAATTTTTGTCTCACAAGATAAATTATGAATATATATGTAGATCAAGGCTCTTTCTCTGAGTGAATAAATCTGATTGAGTAAAGCACTCTATTGCTAAAAAATTTATGTGAATACGGTGATCCTAGAAAAAATTTAAAAAGTGTCATAGCACTCTTTACAGCACTCTTTAAAGAGTGTTACAGATGATAGCTGTTATATAGCATGTTTAAAATCAAAAAATTGAAAGTTTAGATTCCTTAAACTTTTACAATCATCATCATAAATCAATTTCATTTTTAGCCTGCATGTGAATAAGTCTTTTTATCAATTTTAAAATTAAATTTTATCCAATCTATAGTATATTTTTATTTTAAAAATCCAAATCCCAATTTTAATTAAATCCCATTTATATTTTAAATTAAATCCCAATTTATCATTTAAATATTTATTCCCATTTTTTTTAATATTCGTTTCTTGCATTCTTCAGTGTTTTTTGCATGCCTTTTTCACATAAGACTTAACTGTTTTTTCATCTTTCGTGCATTGTTGCTTATAGTCCGGGTCATAATTCTTTATTTTAATAAATTTTATTTTTATAAAATTTTAAAATATTTTTGAGAAAGTTTACTTACAGCTGAAATACATTTACAAGCATCACTAAGATTGGCAGCACAACATTTTTTAAGAGTTGGCATTTCAGACGAAACTTGATTTACCAAAAGACAGATTGCAAAAATAAAGAAAATTGTAGTTTTGGTTGACATTTTTAGTTTTAAAAAATTCTTCTAAAAATTTGCTTAAAAATCTCAATTAGTTAACTAAAATATTAAAAAATTTATATTTTGTAGATTTTTCTTAATGTTAGAAACTCGAAATTTCAAAGTGGCGCTATAATTTTCTGGAGCCCAAAATTGAAGATTTGCCTATAACTTTCGGAAAAATTCATTTAAAAGAATATTTTTTTATAAACCTAGTTTCAGAACACTATTTATTATTAAAAATAAGTCTAAACATAATAGCAACAGTTACAGTATAGAAATCGAGAAAAATATATGTGGGGCTATAATTTTGTGAAGGAGTATTTCTTGTGAAGGAGTATCTAGTATTCTACTCTCAGCAGTCTCCTCAGCCAATTATTACTCAATCCAATTGAAAACACCAACTCAGTTTTTGTTTCTCCAATGAATTTAGCTGATGATTAATTAATAAATTTAAAATAAATTGAATATCGCAATTTCGTTTGCCTATTTATTCTGGGAAAAATTATTGAAGAATTGCAGCAGTTCAAACAAAATAAGAGAGAAAAACGCCCGCGTTTATGAATTTATTTACGAGTCAGAATTTTTGGTATAATAAATTATTCCACGTTGGAAAATTGAATAAAATTTATATTATTGGCAAAATTGAAACTTGAAGATAGCTGGTAGAATCTATCCCAAGGATTTTATATAGAGAGAAAGAAACTTTGAGCGAGAGAGTGGTAGCGAGAGATGGTTTTTTAAAGAATGGTATTTTTAAATAAATTGTTAGCTAATCGTGAAGAAGTGAGGGAAACACCTTAAAAATTAATGTTTTTATTCGGAAAATACGTTTATGTAGGCAAACGACCATGCTGAGTCCGAATTTGAGCTTTGAATTTGGACCCTGTTTCGACCAGGTAGAATTCGGGGTAAAAATTCTAAATTAAAAATTTAAAGCTATTCTGACTCGTCTATTCGAGCTGAGTCGAATGGTATAAAAATCATTCAGTTTCTACGGCGGTACGAAAATTGAGGATACGCACTTGAGGATATGACAAATGAGGATAGAAATGAAAAATAAAAAAACTTGGAAGACCGATTTCAAATCTTTCCAGCGAAGCTGGCGAATTTTTTTTGAAATTCAGATGGTCAAGGATCAAAAATCCAATTTTAAATATAATCCTCAATTGTCGCAACACCGTTTCGACAATTTTAGGTTACAGTTCAGATTATTATATTTTAGTCCAAATATTTCAAGTAGATCAGTATGCCACGCAAATCCTTAGCAAGAACCTGTCTTGATAAAATTCTTATTTTATTCAAGGAAAATTTCAAAAGTATTATTTTCTTAAATTTCTTCATTTTCATGTGTATACCTTATTCAATCAATTTTAATTTATTCGTTAATTTTTTCAATTAATTTTTTTAAAATTCAATCCATACCCAACCATCATCTAATTCATTAAAATTAGCGAACTCTCAATTTTATTCATTGTATTGAATTTAATTTTATAAAATTTTATTTAGTCAGATGTTTATTCAGCTTGATATCCTCTCTTCTGTTTTATTAACTTTTTACGTGAGCTGGTAGAAAAGAAGCAAAGAAATTTTTTAATTCATTTAACTCTATGTTTATTAAGTTTGAAGTGAGATTTGCCATACCATTTATTTATTTTTGGTAATCCTTAAGATCATTGGTCCCTATATAAATGATCAAAAAATTCAATATGAATGTAGAAGCGAATGAAAATAATAAAAAGAGAATACAAATTTATTTGAGCAATAAATTTTCACGCATTTACAACATAATACTCACTAATTTGATCCAAAACGTTATCAAATGCAATTATGGTCTTTTTCCCATTAAACTGTCTCCAATTGTGCTCATTGAGATACCTGGGCATAAATCCTCGACTTGTGCCTGACATTGTTTGAATTTCATTTTGATATTTTTCTAATAGTTCTCTACATGGTAAGTTGAGTTCGTGGGTCAACAAAAAATCTTGTGTGGTTCACAGTTGTGTGTATGTATGGAGGGACTACGGGTATTGCAACAATAGCGCCATAGGCTCACCATTCATCTGAGTTTTTCTAAAAAGTTTTGAAAATTTTCAATGAAATTTTATACCACAAAAATCATTTTCTTGTGTAAGCTTATTCAATCAATTTTAATTTATTCGTTAATTTTTTCAATTAATTTTTTTAAAATTCAATCCATACCCGACCATCACCAAATTCATTAAAATTAGCTTTTATAAAATTAGCTTATTAATTTTATAAAATTTTATTGAGTCAGATGTTTATTCAGCTAGAAAATCTCTCTTCTATTATATTTAATTTTCACGTGAGCTGATAGAAAAGAAGCAAAGAAATTTCTAAAATTAATTTAACGATTTTTATAACTTTGAAGCGAGATTTGCCATACCATTTATTTATTTTTTATTTATTAATTGGTTAAAGCATAAGGTGAATATAAATTATACACTTATAGTCTTGAAAAATTTAAATGGCAATTAAAATCCGACTAGGACACGGATACGGATTTTGGTATCCGTATTCGGATATTTACGACGGATACAGACGGATACAGGCGAATACTATCTGTATTCATATCCGTATCCATGACGCTGTCTGATTAAATTACAGAAAATATAAAGTCATAAAGACATAAATAAATTTAATTTATAGAAAATAAACCCGGTGTCTTAAGCTTAAGTTTAGTAACAACAAATCACTTCAAACTTTATATAAATGCCGCATTGATAATTAAGTAAAGCAGCTTGACTATAGCTATTTCTCTCCTTTAGCTAGTGCAAAAGGTTAATCGGCGGCTGGAAGCGAACCAGCATCTTCATTAGACATCTTCATTACATCTTCATTCATCTTCACGGACTGATGTGTAGCCATTACATCACGCCGCCTAATGCACAGCCTTAGGAATTAAATAGCTATATGCTTTACATGATGTACAAATTATCGTCACGGAAATAGGCCGCTAGCGCGCACTTGATTATCGCGCTTCTAATTTATGTCTGAGTTATCCGACATCCAAAAAATTAAGATTGGTCCACTCCGACAATTACATTATAGTAAAAGCAGAAAAAATTTAAATAAAAAAGTCAATGAGATAAATTATAAGGAGACATGAACCCTAATTTTCATCGATGTTTAGTAGTACTATTTCATTACAAGTTAAATGAACTACCGAGGAACTTGAGTGATATCGAGTGAACAAGAGTATTTGAGAGATTATTATAATTATGAGTTAAAGAAAAAAAACTAGAAAAAATTGCTTATCTCATACATCTGCAATTTTATTTGTAAATGACTGAATGCGTCATTCCAATTTACCAATTTATTTAATTTTTTGTCAGCTTTCTATGCGACATCCAAAAAATTAGCAATAGGGATATTATAATTCAAGACAAACTAAAGCTATAATAGTTTTCCATTTAAATCAAAATAAATGTAAAAAAATATAAGGTAATGAAACAACGGTAAACTTTTCAATAGAAAGCTGGCTCCAGAAGAAACACATGCCCCATTAGATGCCCCAAGGCCCAAAGCTTCTATAAGAATTTTATGTACCTATTTATGTTCATTATAAATGTTCTTTTTGTATTTGGATTACTCAAAATTAACAAAAAAATCTTGAATTGTTAGACACATCCTCTGTAAAATAATTGTAGGTGATACTTGCGATTACCTCTTCCTTTTTGAATAGTACATGTCCAATTCAACTATTGCCTATGATTATACATGGCATCCAAAAAATTAAGTCGGTGAAATGCTCGGTTCTTAATATAATATTAATTTTACGTCTTTAAGAGTGGGAAAATTGATGAATAAATATTAATTAAATAATCCTAATACCGGGATTGACATCACAGTCGGTCTGCCTAAATGTCTGACTTTATAATTTGAAATACGTTAACTTTTTTCGCTACTTTAACTTACTAAAGCGAATATTTGTTAGCTATAGCTAAAATCCAAAATAATAAATAATTATACGAAAAAAATTAAATAGCTAAGAAATAATTTGACATTAATTATTAAATTATCAACAATTAATTTAACAATACAGTGTGTCAAGAAAGTATAAGACCACCTAAAATTTTCATGTCGAAACTCGGGGTGGCCTTATACTTTCTTGACAACTGTTTTTAAGAAAATTCGCGAAATTTCGCATTTTGATTCAAATTTTTTACAATTTATTTTTTGAATGGCTATTAGTTACGGTAAAAAACAGCTGTGTAAAATTTCAGATCTGAGACTTATGTGGAAGTTGAAAAAAAGTGAAAATTTTAGGTGTTCTTATAATTTCTTGACACACTGTAAATGAATTAAACTTAAATTTGAATAAAGTTATGCCAAAAATAATTTGGCCGGTGTCTTTCGGCTCACTCTTTATAGCAATCTCAATTTCATATAATCTTAGGCTAAAAATTTGAACGGATTTTGTTTAACATTAAGATTAATTAACTGCCAATTGATATCCATGGCATCCAAAAATAATCCATATATAGAACAAGAAAAAGAACAATTACCATACTAATTTCACATTTTAAAAGACAGAAAAATTTAAGAACGTATATTAATCATATAAACTTGTTAATATTATTTATTAAAATATATTGGAATAATCAGTGGATATTAAATTTTGTTAAATATGTCGTTTTGCGTGTTTTAAAAATTTGAAAAATAAGATAAACTCCTCCACATAACTATACAGCCACACTATTTTTTAAATTTTTCCAGCTTAAATATTAATTTGGAAATGGGACACGACCAAGTAGGCGCGCGGCCAGGTAGGCGCAAAGCCATAACTAGCTGCAAAATTTCTTGACTTCGACAATTTTGGTACCAATCTCTTTAGCTCGATGAGATGAATCGTTTAATACTAAATTTTGAAAGATTCGGAAATCTTTAAGTAAGTTATGGGTTTGCGCCTACATGGCCGCGCGCCTACTTGGGCTGTACCCTTTGGAAATTTATGAATTTAAATATAATAAACAAGCAGCAATAGACCGATTATTAGAC